GACCTGTTGCCTACCGGCTTGCCTTGCCTCCGAACTTGGCTAACATCCACGACGTGTTTCACGTGTCTCAGCTTCGGAAGTACATAGCAGATCCTTCGCACGTGGTGCAGCCTGATGATGTGGAGGTTCGGGAGAACCTGAAGACTCCCATCGGACCACTCAGAATTCTCGATCGTGGCGAGAAGCAGCTGAGGAGCAAGATCATTCCAATGGTCAAAGTGCAATGGACCGGAAGAACTCCTGAGGAAAGTACTTGGGAGCGTGAGGACGAGCTTCTCCGGCAGTACCCTGAGTTTCGACCAGGTATGTTTCTGATTTTGAGGTCAAAATCCTAAAAAGGTGGGGTGAATGTAAGAACCCGCACCGTTAATTAAGGTATTTAATTATTTAATTATGAAAAATTAGGAAATGATTCCATAATTGACCCTAATAAATATTTATGAGGCTTAATAATTATGGTAAGTGATTTAGAATGCTGAAAGTCGCTTTTTGGAAGAAAAGTGCAGATACCGGTTCTGCTAGTCGGTATAAATGCGTACCGAAAAAGTATCCCGGAAAATTAATGTAAGTGCATGATAATTACTCGAATGATATGTAGGACTTGTAAAACGAGTTTCAAGTCCAAATAATGAGAACTGGTGCTAGAAACCGGTACTGGCTCTGAAAAGCGCGTACCGGAAAGGTGCTCAGAAAAATGTAATAAAAATATGATAATTCTTAGAAAATTATGAAGTTTCATAATCCAAAGTTTGGGATTAAAATGCTAAGCGTAGTAATTAAATTTAATATTGTGTGCTTAAGTGAGTTTTGGCTATATATACCCTTTGTAAGGGCACAAAGCCCTAGAAAACTGATTTGCTGCGTGGCGTTTCTTGGAGGCTGACCAGAAATAGTGTTCTTAGGCTTCCTTCTCCATTTCTTGAGTAAGCATTCACCTTTGATGCTTGTTCTTCCATTTAAACACTTGGTGAGGGTGATGGTTGGCCTTGGGACTGCATTGTGGTGTTGTTTCTGAGTTAAAGAACCTGTGTGAGGGAGTTTGAACAGCTATGTTTTCTGTTCTTGAGGGGTGTGACCTTTTGTTGGCATTTTGATGCTCCAAGGTGCCTTCTTGTTGAGTGAAAGACCTACTTCTTGTACATTTTCGTGCATCCTCTTGTGGCAGTAGCTTGAGACTGATTGTGAGCTCCAAAGGACAACCTTTCCTTCTGTTTTGAGCTGGGGTATGTGTACCAACCTTTAACTTGAGTTTAAATGCTTAAAAATGGTACCTTGATGCATCTAATCACTAAAAGATGATAACTTGTTGTTGGGTAATGTTGAACACGCCTAGAAATGCATAATTAGGTGTTTAAAATCGGTAAAAAGGAAACCTTTAAGGGATATCTTCACGAAAATGCAGAAACTGTATTCTGTCGTGAAATATCCGGATAATTGTCGAACAGATATCCCGATATTGGATATCCGGATATGGGGTTTTGGGATATCTGGATAATGGATATCCGAAAATTTGAATCTGTATATCCGGATAATGCATATCCGGATATGGACAGTGAGATATCCGGATATTGCATATCCGGATATGGTCCCGAGGAATATCCAGATATTCTTGGATTTCGTAGAACAGTAGTTGTGTTGTGTGTACAGTAGGCTATTGGGGGTTTGTGGACCCTAGTTTGATGAAGTTGAACTTCTGTATTAATGGACTAAGCCAGAATCTTGGGATTAAGGGCTTGTGGCTTTGTTAGAAGCTTTAAGACATTAAAACGTAATGAAATGGCGTTGTCTTTAAATTGTATGCATGTGGTACATGTTTATTGATTTATATTTGGTCCATATCAGATTGTGATCTGTTGTGATTGGACTTTGAGCTTGTGGCATTGGATAGCTAGCTTAGAGATAAGCTTTCGTGTCCTCGGTTTAGCCATGTTGTGGTTCCACCATGTCCCATGGGGATATGTTATATGCATGCTGTGTTACATGCTTTTGATGTTTTGGAAATGCTGTTGAGCTATTGTATGTTAGTGCCTTGTTGATATGCATGGAGGTGTTCCACCTATACGGTAAGCCTGAGTATGTAGAACATACAAGAGGGTGAGGCTGTGGGTGAGGTGCAAGCGGTGTTCCTTGTACTACATGTAGGGAATAGACGTATTCCTACATTTCTCTGGCCAGTAGATAGTGGTTACACACATGCCATAGATATCTGTTGCACTACATAGTTTTGGAACTGATAATGATATTACTGCTTTTAGAACTTATATTGCACATGTAAGTGAGCTTGGGGTGGAAGATCCTTGAGGACCCCTTGTCTTACTGAGATTTCTTGTTTAGAGATCTCACCCCACGTTTGGGGAACGCTTATTTCAGGTTCAGGTAATGTTGAGACCTCAGGCGGCAGGAAGCCGGAGCTGAGTTAGATTTGCTTTTATATTATGCTGCCATGATTGGATGCTGGATTTGCATGCTGCTTATATGCTTATAGCTTCAGTTTATGTTTATGGAGTTTTATGTTGAGACTTGTTGTTTACTATGTTTATTTGGTGAGCATGGGGATTGTCCATACACATAGTATTGTTATGTCTTGATTATGTTTTGAGTCTTTTGGAGTTGTAATAATGTATCAGGATATTGTCCGTATTACGAGATGTAATGCCGTGATTTAAATACACACTTTATTTATATATTGAGGTATTTCAGCAGATGTCTTATTACAATTTACATACAGGCGTTATTTTATGAAATTGATTAAGTAATCAAGTTGGTAATTGATAATGACGTCATAATTGAAAAATAAAGAATATTCCGCATTTTTAATTAAGCACCGCTTAATACGATGTAGTGTTAATATTCCGAGTATACACGGGGTGTTACAAAGAGCAAGGTGGCAGCTTGGAGACTCAAGGTTCAGAAGAAAACCCACGTAGGAGGTTGAGTATCAGCCTAGGGTTTAGTGCCAAGCACTATATATAGGCAGTTTAAGTTTAATCACACTGTATTAGCACTAATAGCTACGCTTATCATTTTATTCCCAAACTTAGGATTCTGAACCTACTCATTTTTCTAAGATTTTTCATATTTTTATTTTATTTTTCGCAGCACCTTTCTGGTACGCGCTTTTCCATAGCCAGTATCAGTTTTGGCACTAGTTCTCATTATTTTGACCTGAAACTTATTTTACAAGTCCTACATATTTCTCTAGTGACATATACATAATTTTTATAATTTTTTGGGATACTTCACCGGTACGATTTATACCGAGTAGCAGAATCAGAATCTGCACTTTTCGTCAAAAAGCGACCTTCAACATTATTACTCACTTATCATAATTATTTAAGCCTCATAATAATTATTAGGGTCAATTATGAAATTATTTCCTAATTTCACATAATTAATTAATTAACTTCCTTAATTAACGGTGCAGGTTTTTACAGTTATGTTATCACTGTGCACACACACACACCCATTTGGCAAAGCCGTTATTATTCTTTTGTGCACAATGATCCACTTGACTCAAAGGTATTTCCTTCATAGACACCTTAGAGAGGGCACTAGATCCAAGAGTAACTTACTAGTCCATTGGGCTAGACATCTCTGTCTCTAAGATAGAAAAGGTACGAAGCTTGAATGATGTCTATGGGAGAGCTACGCAGAAGAGGTTATTAAATATTATAATGAAAATTCAACCAACCCGACGATCATCATCATTCTGTTTGCTCGAATGCAAAAAGAGAGAGGGTAATATGGTCTACTTTGATTCGAGTTGTTATTCATTTTTTTATCTGTATGTATAAAAAAGTATTATTTTATTGTTTGTATGTACGTAAAATGGGACTGTCAAATACTAAATTCTCTACAAGGCTCTTTTTCAATCCTGATTTGTTGAGAGGTTCGATTTTGTAACTGATACATGGTATTCTTCTTTTATCTATCATAATAAATAAGTCAATCAATTTGTTGTATACACAGATTTCTTGATGCACAATCAGATAGTGCACAGATGCTGACGCAGCTTTCAAACCAATTAATGTATTCATAATTGCTTGGTTTTTGGAAGGAAACTGCAACAAAATTTATTTGTGATATCAAGGATTGTAGGAAGTTAGTAATGTATATTATGTTAATTGTAGCCTTTTTCATGAATTAAATAACAGCAGGCTCAACCATGGATATTAATGTTTGGTGTAATTAGGCTATGTCATATGTTACATATGCCAATATCAAGAGAAAAGTTCTTTTAGGCAATAATATAGGTGAAATCGTGTTAATTTCAAGGATGAATTTGAGTACTTCTAATTACATCTTCTATGTAAAGTTTGAAGGCAGACAATTTCCATTGGTTGTTTACTTTACAAGAGTCAAGGTCAAACTTTATCTCATGTAAGAATTTATCTTCCGAGACCAATTTTTATTCTTGACCAATTGCTCTCTCTAGGGTCAAAAGTACGAAGGAATAAAAGCTTCTCATACTTGTCGATCATGGCACAGTTGCCAATACTATAACAAACATTGTGTTCAATTTTTTTTTCAAATGTTAAAATAAGTTAATTGTTAAAATAAGTTAATTTATCTTGTTTGTTGAACTATTTTACATTAATTTACAGAATTTACTGTTTCATTATAATATGTAATGTACATGTAATTTTACTGTTTATTTAATTCTATTTTATATTTTTTACTTGTTCCCGTCCTATGCCAATAGACGGGTCATAGACTAGTTAAATTAAAGGTGTGAAAATGTGTTAGAATTAAACGAAAATAAAGTGCAGTTCATTTTGAAGGATTTCGCATTTGTAGAAATAATTTTTATTTCATTGTAATTGGCAAGTTCTCTTTTTTCACTGACCTAAAACTTTCTCTTACTCAAGTTTTCGAATCAGCATTACTACTAATATTGAGTTGGATTATGAAAGAGAAAGGGTTGCAATTTGCAACAAGCAAAATGGGAGGATAATAAAAAAGGTGGAAAAAAACTTACATACATGACAAACATGACGACATTTATTATATTTAGAAGAGTTGCAATAATTGATTGCATTATTTCATCTAAACCCCGTTGAAGTTGGATTTAAACCTTTAAAATAGAACAGCAAGTCTTTGATCTCTATCTTCTGATATACTGAAAAATAACTCACCGAGGAGAACTATATTAACAACAAAAAAAGTTTCTATCTATCTCCTTCTATCATCAGAGAGAAGGTACAATAAAAGGTTGAAACAGATATAGAAAAGTCATGCGTATATTATGAAAAAAAGGAAAAAAAGTAAAAAGAAAAAGAGAGAAATGTACATATCAAATGGTATATGAGTGTCATCCAACCAACACATAAATGGCATATATAATCCCCGGTAGGTATCCCAGTATGGTCAGCACTAGATCTATCCAGAACTCAACCTGTATTTAAATAAAAAATGAATGAATCAACCCAACAAATTAATCACAACAAAAACAATTAATCATTACCAAACCCAATAATATGGATAGATTTATAAATAAATACTAATAAGAACAGTTTGAATGAGAATATGACTGGGGAAAAAAAGGAAAGAAAGAGAAAAGTAAGTACTCCACAGCCATAACGAAGAAAAACACCAACAGGAGGTAGCAGTATAGCTAATATCACTTCCAGAAAAGTTTCTGAACCCATGAATTTTTCTCTCTCTCTAATAGAATTGAATGAGTAGTGCCTATGATAAGCTTTGGAGTTTGAGATCAGTGACGGGAGAAATGGAAGCGTTATCACTTATTCAAGATGTATGTTTCGGGAACAAAATGAAAACAGTTACGGTGGAGATTACAGTGGCAGAATTGATGGGGCATTGGATGACACGTGTATTACACGGAACTGACGCGTGTCTTTCTCCTTCTCCTTTAACTTTTGGAATAAGAACGCGTATATCAAAAATTATAATAATGTTAAAAAAGGATTATATTAATCAAATTAAATAATAGATTAGCGTTAAAATGCTATATAATGAAAGAAAAAGTGTTTGTCATTTTAAATGATATAAAGTTAGGGAAAAAAGTGTATCATTTTAAATAACACACTTTACATCCTTTTACTCTCACAAAGAGGTGGGACCCACACATTTAATTTTTTTTTCACCTATTTTCTCTCTCATGATTTATCTCTTTATCTCACTTAAAATGACACAACTTTTTGTCATTCAAAATGATACACACTTTTTCCATGAAGTTATGTCATTTTAAATGACATAAAGTTATGTCATTTTAAGAGAGAGATAAACACAAAATAATATCTTTTTATTTAAAATTTAAATTAAAAAAACCACCCACTTTCTCCCCTCGTGATTTTCATTTCTTGTGTCTATCTCTCTCTTAAAATGACATAACTTATGTCATTTAAAATGACAAACCATCAAACCCATATATAAATCATATTTAAAAGAAACATTTTTAAAATTAATTTTCACCGTAATTTTCTGAAACAATTAGATTTTGTGGAATCTTAGGTAAACAATTATTGAAGTTAGTATCAACTTAAAGAAATTGCAAAAGTAAAATACCATGTGAAATCTGGCAAAAAAAATTAAAATATTACACTTTTAATAATTAATTATGAATAGGTTGCAGTTTGGAAACTAATTTCGGATCTATTGCAGACATTCACGTCCAAAATGGGCAGGACAATTCACGCCCATGATAGGCGTGAATTCCACGTCATTCACGCCCAAAATAGGTGTGATGAGTCACGCCCCATGCAGGCGTGAATTGTAATAACCCTAAATTATGTAGCCTTATTTATTAATGAATCTTGTGTGGGCAAATTAATTAATGATAGCTATATGTGGATAGTCCAAAGTTAAGTATGGTTAAATAAATTAAAAGCCCAAACATAATGGGATAAACCTTCACCAAGTAATGGTCTTAATGGCCCAAACTCATAAACTCTTGAAATTTTATGATCTTAGACTAAGCCCACACTAATGATAAACCCAAGTAGCCCAACCTAGGGTGAACCCAACCCAAAGAGACTCCTTGGGCCGAACCCAATATGTGAAGGAATAAGACTTGGCCCATTTATTAATTTCAATGGAAATCCAACCCCAAAAGGCCAAGTGGGCCGAACCCATTTCCTAGTGTGGCCTTGGCCCAAATGCAAAGTAATCCCCCATTAAGAAGCCCAAAAACGGGGACCCCCTCTAGTGGGCAACAAACCCAAGTCCATGAACCTATGATGAGTGACGTGGCACTTGATGGATGGATGCCACTACATGCAACCAATAAGGGAAAAGAATGGAATGGAACATGGCTATTTCCAAGGCAAGCTGCGGCCATAATGGAAGCAAGAAGACATGAAGTGTCTTTCCTTCTTTCTAGGTGACACATTAAAAGATCATAAACTTTTCCCTTCTCCCTAGGCGCACACCAAAGGCTCACAAACCCAAAGCCTTCCCCAATTATGACTAGAGAGTGGAGCCACTTTTCCCCATCCCCCTAGGTGCAATAATTATCATGAAAAGGGAAAGGCTTGTTTTACACACTTTATGTTGAGTGTGGGACACTCAAGGTGACCCCCCAACCCCATGCATTGGGAAAATACACTGACACCTTCTCCTAGGGTTTCAATTAAGGAAAGTTAAAAGGCAAAAGCCTTACACACTAACCCATATTCTCCTATTAATGATTAAAGCATTGAAGTTTATCCCTTTAAACAAGGCGCTACTTACAAGAGTTCCTCCTCCCCATGCACATCACTCCTCAAGCAATTAATGTTGAACCTTATCTTCCCTCCACCCTAGGCGCTACACACAAGAATTCCTTCTCTCCATGCGCATCACTCCCTAAGTGATTAATGATGAGTGTTATCCCTCTAATCTAGGTAGGACATGCAAGAAAGAGTCCCTCACCCATGCGCATGACACTTTGAACAAGGTGAGAGATTTGCCTAACCCACGCACTCCACCTAGAACCTAACCCATCCTCTCCTAGGTGTGATGATTAAGGGAACTTAGATAAAATAGATGACCCAAGCCTTCCGCCATCCTAACCGTACACACTCCCTCACTCACTCTAACTCTAACAAGAAACCAAAGGAAAACAAAGAACCCTTTCGTGCCCCACCAAGTTGGCCTTCCCCCAAAGAACAAGAAACCAAAGAGAAACAAACCTCTCCCTCCCCTAAGGCTTCGGCCATTAACATATTGGGGGTAAAGGAACATCAAAAATAGCTTCCAAGCCTCCTTATCGCCTAACTCGTGGAAGGTGGACACTTAGAAGAAATATTGGTAGAAGAAATACTCCATTGAACATCATCCTCTGAGGTAAGGTCCCTTAGACTCTATGCTTAAGTTATGATATACATCTCTTTTAGATATTTTCGGTTTATAAAGACTAAAGGAATACAAATCTTCTTCCCTCATTCGAATACTTTAGAGCTAAAAAAAAAGGAAAACCTTGTTAAAATGGGACTTATATGTTAACCGAATTTTTAGAGTACTATGCATGAATTCATGTTGTTAGAATCATTCCCTAAGTCCTAATATCCTAAAGGGCCAAACCTAAATGAGATGTATGAATCAAGTAAGTTTTAGAATCACCTATTAAAGTCTCATTATGTTATTAGGCCGAACCAAAGGTGCAAAGGAAGACTAGAGCCGAACTCGAACTCTTGTGAAGTAAAAAGACAAGACAACTGTGTAAGTGATTTATGGTTGTAGAAGTAGTTTCCCTATGGTTGCCACCCTCTTTATGTAAAATGTTGGTTTGACTGCAATCTGTTATATGGTGTTATACAGTGATATGTTTGGCTGTTTTGAACTAATGTTTTGTTCATGCAAGATGTGTTATAATGGCCTGTGCACTAATACCAAAGAGGCAACCTGACGAGGACCTTGGGTATTCGTCCGTAAGACCATGGAGAGTAATTGCCATGGCAGGATTGGTATGATGATTTGAAAGCATGATTTTTCTTCCAAACTATGTTTCAAATGTTTTTCCATTCTATTATTGTATATGTTATTATATGACAGTTGCAGGAGTAAGCATCATGGTTTGGAGGTTGCTCCAACTATGAGTCCTTACTGAGACCCCCAATCTCACCCCTCTTTGGGGATCCCCCTTTCAGGTAAAAATGACCAAGTGGGTAAGGGAAGGCAAGAGATTGGTACGTCTTGAAGATGATGTTACGCAGTCACTTACGGATAAAATTATTGAGCTTTGTAATGAAGGACAGTATGAACAGGCTATGTATATTGTATGGCTTGAATTATTCGGAGGCTACGACTACACTGAATCCTTATGGATTGAGTGATGCACTTTATTTATGATTGGATCACTGTAATAGATTATGTTACTTATGCTACTTCAGATATTTAACATGTGTTTAAGATATTACATTTTGGGGGTTTGAACTTAAAGGGCTTTATGTTTTATGGACCATGCGATTCTGTTGTGAGACCCATATGATTCGGCCATGCATTGCTATTTAAGGTTAATTAACTAAATTTTGATATAATGGATTAAGAGGTACGAATAGGGCTAAGACTTCACCCTGGTATCCACGATTTATTAGATGGACTTAGGAAAGATATTTAACTTGATGAAATTTTTCATAAAGGACTTAAAGGTCATTGCATGCGTGGCTGGAATTTTAGAATAATAGGAGGACCTAATAATAAAGTTATAGGGGTTAAATCTAGAGAGAACTTAGAAATTAATATGACTCGTGACATAATGCACCCTAGGCATAGGGAGGAAATTGTAGACGCTAAGAACCCATGATTGATAGATAAATATGATTGTTAACTTGAAGAATTGAAGAACGAAATTAACCCCCTAGAACAATATAGTAGACCACGCTTAGAACAAGTCTTCCGCGCTAAGTATAGCAATGTTAACACCTATGGATTGAGTATATAAAGAGGGAGTTACATGAATCACTGGACATTCCAGCCCATTCTAGGCGTGACTCAGCCCCTTTCCAGCCCACTTTGGGCGTGAATGGCACCTATTTTTTCTATATAAACACCTCTCATCTCCACATTCATCACAACTTTTCTTCATCTTAACTTCTTAGTCTTCGATACAGTCTCACTTTCTTATGCATACTCTGTTTTGTGTTTTTCTTTATTAATATAGTTAAGAATGAGTTCACATTCTGATTTTGTTCGTGTTGTTTTATATTATAATGGTAGAAAAATGGAAGGTCGACGTGGTGTCATTTTTTAAGGCGAGAAAAAGCCAACACGTATCATGCGGAACTCAACAATTAGCGAAGTACATCAAAAAATTCGTCAAAAGTTAGCGCTTGAAGGTAAACAATCTATCAATATGGTCACTGCAAGAATATGGTGTGAATCACAACACATTAGTATGCAAGTTGTTGACGATTAAGACGTATAAATGGTAATCGAAGAATGTTTCAACCAGTCAAGGAAAGATTTTTTAGAGTTATACGTGGATATTGCCAAAACATAGGATGTTGCTATACCCATGAGGTCAGTTGATTTAAATTTTGCACATAATGCATCATCATCTGTTGCTCCAGTTGGTAATCTGTCTGAGGAAGGAGAAAATGATCCTACTTGGGTTATGGAAGATGATGGTGAGGATGACGATGATGAAAATATTGCAATGGATGATCAACTTCTTGCTGAGGATGCTAGCGCTTCAGACAACGATGATGAATGTGGTATTCCTGAAACTCAAATCTTAGAATATAATGTTGTGGGGGAGTCTCATGTCCAGGAACATGATAATGTTGCGTCCACTCAGTTACCGCCAATTTTGGAAGGTAAGTAAGTA